AGGACAGAAATGGGCAGTGCTTCCTCCACGAGGAAAGCTGCTTGAGTCTCTCGTGTGACAAGGCAGGGTCATGCTTCGTCTTCCCTGTTGACTAAAGGACATTAAAACTGTTTTTCCTTTCTCTCCAGGGAGAAAACATTCTGTCAGATTTTGGATGCTAATTCAAAACTGTTGTCAAGATTTTCATAAAGCTTTTTAAAAGCGCTTTGTTCTTTTCCTGCTAAAGCCTCTGAAGGCTTTCAGCTTGTTATTGCTCTTCCTTCTTGGAAAACATAAAGAAGAACTGGCATACAGGAGACATTCAGATCTTCTCTGTCTCTGGAATGACATTATCCATGTTTCTCCTCTTTGTAAGGCACCTAAGGTTTAGCAGTGATGTGTTATTTAAGTTACTACTGTAGAGTTACTCTGAAGTGAGAGTCTGTCTTCACGCTGCTGTTCCCAGTTCTCAGTAGCAGTGTGGATGTTTCTACAGTGTGGAGCAGTAATGACAGCAGCTTTCCAGCCTGCCCTGGAGGTGACATCACAGGGCTGCAGGACGGCCTTAGGTCCTCTGCTGCTGTTGACAGCTGGAAAGGCTCCCACAGGCTCTTCTGCACAGCACCGGGGACTGATAGCCTGCCTGTAGTCCTCAGAGCTGATGGGGCACATCACTTTTGCTGGAGTAGTGAGTACAGAACCAGATTAAACAGAATGTTTAGTCTTCTTACTTTCCAGTGAAGTCCGTAGGAGTTAGGACTAAATACTGTTACTGAGCCCAGCCTTCAAGGCCTACTAAAGCCAAGTGCTTGCTGCATGTATTTAACAGGAGTCCATCCCTCTTAGGCATAGCATGAAGTCAGCACATTTAAACACACTTGAAGTTAAATCCATTTACTGCTGCGGTAACCAGCATGCATGCTACCCACCTCCCTCTCCCTAGAAATAACAGTGCATCAATTCGTCATCCCCATGAGCGCATTTATCAGATGCACCTAGTACTTCATTCATCACTGCTGAACATCAGCAGTGAAAGCCTTTGAGGATCCGTGGGCTTTGGGGTTGTTATTCCACGTTACATTTCTGGAATGGCTAATGTGTGCTGTGATCATCAGTGCAGTGGAGTGAGAAACTAGGAAATAAAATCTCAAAAATAAGAAGATTGGAAAAAAACAGATCAAACAAAAACCAAACACAAGAAAAAATACCCATCTAGTGCACAGTAGCATTTGGAAAACCCTTGGAAATAGGCCATAGTTCTATTGAAATCCCAGTGGGCTGATTTATGTTTGTTTATGAGCTGATTTATGTTTGTTTCAGTATTAGAAGCATAGAGAGTGTCTAAGATGAAATCGGGAGCTTAAAATCAGTTTCCGCTTTAGCTGTGTGACCGCATGCATGCTCCCTGGGACAGAAGTTTAGGAGCTTGGCCTTCGGCAGCAGTCTCAGCAGGCAAGAGCAAAAATGGAAAGAAGGGCGAGTCATTCCGCTGTGACTCAACCATCACCGGAGTCGTCACCCTGTTCCCTGACTGTTAAAGGGATGTGCACGCACCTGGTTTATGCCGCCCTTTTTGCTAGGATCTTCCCAGGGATTGCATGCAAGGCTTCACGGAGTGTGTTCCTTCACAGGACAGCGCATATCAGAGTGTTTGTGGGTAGGTTTAAGGAATATCCCATTTACAGGGTCACACTTCGCCATCCCTTCCCTCTTCTCTCTAGGAGTACTTCCAGCCTGAGGTGTGACGGGTTTCTGTCTTGTGACAAAAGGATTCCCCCAGCCCCAGTCCGACTTCTCACAGCCCATAATGGTTCCACAGCAATTACCGAGTGAAAGCATGTATATGCACACCCACACCCCTGTGTATGATGAAATGCCTCTACTGCGACATGTTGCAGATTTCTCCCTATCTTTATATTTCGGGGTATCTTCCAGAGGTTGTTTTCCACTGTACCTCACCTGCCAGCAGTACTTGCAGCATTTTCTTGGCCTTGCTGGACTCTGGCAGGGAAAAGGAAGCCTTAAGGCACAGATATCCTGCTTAGCTTGCCTCTTCCAGAGCCCACACGGTTGAGTTTTACCATGTCAATACGTAGGGCGTTGACAGGTCATGTAACGAGCCCGCTCGTCTCACACGACTGTCTCTTGGTACCGTAGCAAGGCGTTTCAAAACAAGTGCCCCCAGGCATCCTCTAGCTCTTCTGCGAGTTGTCGGGGGCAGGTTCCCCATGTTTTACACGCAGTGTCTGACAGGCACCTGAGCTGTCTGGCTCTTCTCAGCCATTCAGGCGTAATGGAGGTTTAGGCTGCTGCTCTCATCATGGGTACAAACACCACAGTTTTATCTCGGTGTAAGGAGTCAGGGTGAATCCCTGTGAGAATCGTACTGATTTCAGGTAACCATGCGTATTTACAGGCTAGCTACGCTTTGTCTCCATAGATTTTTTTTTTAATGGAAAATTGACTAGTTTAGGGTTAAAATTCTCTTTTTTCTGTTTAAAATGAAAGTTGTTTTTCTTCTTCTGAATTGACAGTCTTTATTCAATAAGTGTTAATCACAGCTCATTGAATTATGCCATGGGTCAGTGTTTCCATGAGTGTTTGTTCTTCCAAATCTTGATTAAAAAAATGAAAACAGACATTTCAAATGCTTCAGCCCTTTTTAACCAGCTATAAGACTGGGAGAGAGACTTCACAATGGCAGTGGAACTTTTGCAAACTGTTTTAGCAGGCGTATTTTCCTTCTTGTTTGCTATTCAGCTTGGAAAAGTGGCAGTTTCTACCCAAGTGTAGTTCCAGCTGTATAAGAACCATAGATATTACACAGAATGATAGCTAAATTCTAGCAGTAACTGACCAAATAAAGATAAAACAAACCAAGAGCAGAATTCAGGCCACTTTGGATGACTTTAGTAGGATTTATTGTGTGTATTTATATGCTTTGTCCTGGTCTGACTTGCTGGGGTTTCCTCAAAGCCTCATTCACAGCAGTGACAGCACAGTCAGGGCAGCTGAAGAAAGGATTTGCAGTTCCTCATTAAAGGTCTCAGTTTGACACTTTGTAGCTATGGCTGAGCCCAGAAAATTAACATCGTATTTGTCTGGAATATGTTATGTTTGTTCAAATGTAATAAAAGGAACTAATCCAATCAGACTATTTTTTTTGAGGGGGGTGGTGGTGTTTTGTTTCTGGTATCGGAAAAAAAAAGCTCATTCCTGCAGGCTTGCCAGGCAACACTGGCTTCAGCAAGAGGCATTACCTGAGTGAGAAATGTAAGATTTGGCAAATCAAAGCCTTCTAAGTCCTCCAGGCTGTTTTGCTGCTGTGATACACAGAATACCAGCTGGCCACATTGGCTGCCTTGCAGAGAAACAGATGTGTTAGGCTAATGAAAATTGGTCTTTACAGGTTGTTGGGGGGAGAAGTAAAAAAAAATTATATTTAAAAAAAAAAAGGTTCAAAATCCCCAGGATAAACAGTTAAAAGGCCACTTTGGTTTGTTTCGTGGTTTTTAAAGTTGATTTTAGAGTATTCTTAATGACAAAATATTTGTTTCAATTTAGGGGCAAAAGGGGCAGGCAATAATTAGACATAAAAAGCCTCATTTCTTCTACAGTTTCATGGCAGCAGAGAGTCAGGATCACATTTTCTAAAGTGTGGAGTATCAGCAGGTTCTATTTAGAGGTGATGGATGTGACATTATGCTGCCTGTCTAGAGGAACAGCACCAAACGTACAGCTCTGTCTTCTCAAATGAGCTTTTATTTTCTGTTGGGGTCCAAGTTCCATGTCCAGAGATGTCTTGGGTGAATTCTTCTCCTGTGTGGACTACCTCTCTTTTGTTTCCAAGTGTCAAAGATCAGGTTGTCTCGATCCAAGTTCTTCAGAAATTCCTTCTATGCCAGAAGAGAGTTTGGAAAATGCTCGCAACCCAGTTGCTTTTTCCATTACTCTTCCCATTTGGTATGATGGGAGATCGTCTGGCCATTGAATTACAGTGACTTAAGCAGGCACCCAATTCTCCCATCCCACAGGTCAGTCTGCTCTTGAATGTGTCCTCAGTCTGGCACTCTGGTCTTGACACTTGGGTGGGGTTTTTTTACATGTCTGGCTCTTGGGTCGCGAACATCTCAAACAAGCTTAAGGTCAGGACTGCCTGCTTGCTTATCTCGGAATAGGATGACAGTGGGGAGGAGACTATAGGGAAGTTGGCATGCCTCGGGAGCCCCAGAACATCTGGTTTGGGTTAAACCTAAGCAACAAGTAATAATGCACGTTGGGTTTTGGTTGCTATATTCAGCTGGCTCGTGCAGCAGTTTGCATTGTTAATCGACATCAGAGAATTGCAAATGCATTTTTCAGTGGGGGAATTATCCCAGTTAGAGAGGAAAAGGATCTTCTGGAGTTAATGGCTTCTGCTGTGGAAAAGCCCTGTATATTGTTGCAATGGTGTGTGTGTTCAAATCTCCTTGAAAAGCTCATGGCAGAACCACCCTGAAGAGCAGGGTGACCTGAGTCGCGGGCCCACAGAGGTCTTGCTCCAAGTTTGCTCTTTGGAGTAAGCTTTAATTCCAACATCGCTTTCAGGTTTTCACTGCAAGAGGGGAAAAGAGTTGCAAAGAAAGGAGATCACTTAAACTGCAATGAAACAGTGTCTTGTGAGCTCTTGTTTAGGTATCTTTTTTCCAGTCTTCGCAATACTCTGCAGAATATCACATAAATTTTGAGCTGAAGTGAAATGGGTGTTTTATGTAATTTTGCAGTTCAGAAAATGGACATAAAACCTATAACTGGGAGGGGAACTAGAGGTCTCAGCCTCTTCACAATGGGGCGGGTGCCACATTTTAATGTGTGAGAAGGGAGGAAAACTGCATTTTGTCTGAAAAATAAATGGAGCATGGCAGCGGCCATTTATTTTTGGGACACTTACTTGCCTGGAAACAGGATGCTGAGGTGAGGTACCATGGAGCAGGGAGCTTTGTGCTAGTGGTGCTCAAACCCTCTTTGTATTTCTCTTCCAGTCAGACGGGACCATCCTGGCTATTGCGTTGTTGATCCTCTTCCTCCTACTGGCATTGGCTCTCCTCTGGTGGTTCTGGCCCCTTTGCTGCACGGTGGTAAGTGACACAGCTCAAAACAGCAACTCAGTGCTGCCTGAATGCAAGCAATGGGTGGGCAGGAGGCAAAGGTTCCCAGTGAGGAAGAGCATAGGACTGGTCATTGAACAAATGGCATTTGTTTTGTGCTTCTCATTGATCTGCCTGACCTTTGGATTATACCCATGGGATAGCAATGTTGCTAACATACAGACCTTGTCGGGAGCATTTTAGTCTTATTTATTGGTCGCAAAATGGAAATGGTTTGGAAGAATGTATTAGTTGCCATGTTATTTTAGGAAGAAATGGCTTTTCTAGGGTTTCCAACCCCTGTGTCAGTATCTCAGTGCTGGAGGGCTCCTGCAGAAGGGCAGGCATGCTGAAGCCTGACTGGAGTCCTTGTTCTCCCTCCGGTACAAGGATAAGACATTTCTAAGTGTGCAAATTTTTGCAAGATTAACCTTTTTTCCTGGCTCACCATGTCTGAAAAGCACTCTGAAATACCCAAATGACAGTTTTGGTTTCAGTAGGGTTACAGTTCACTGCGCACTATCCATGCTTTTTGACTGAGTGTTCTGCAGAGTTAAAAAGCGTGGTCACAGAGTTAATTAAAAAGGCAGAAATCAGGAGAAAACAGGGGAGAAGGAAGAGACAAGAAGGAAATAGCAGGACTTGAGACAAGCTTTTCTCTCATGCATGACCCTGCTTTTTGCCTGCAAGGACCTGTCACACCGCTGCACATCTCTGCTGATTGTCCCCAAGGGCTCCCTTTTCCAATGAAGACAGGGGCAGAGGCTGAGTATTGTGGAACGTGCACTACAGTGAGGCTCTGCTCTTGCTTTGGGTCTTGTTCGTGCTGCAAGTATTTAACAAGAATTAGGGATGTACCAATGTCAGTAGAATTGGGGTCTGGTTTTGGTGACTGCCTGCATGTAATGTTTCAGATGCTCCTTTTAAGACTGCCCAAACTAGCTGCAGTTTCTGGGTCACTATGGTTATTAAGTCACTTACCCCCTGTTGTAAATTTGCACCATGTTGTATGAAACCTACGATCTAGTGCTGAGAGCTTTGGAGCCACAAACTGCAGGAGCAGTCATGTTTGGGGACGAGTCTTTGTGGTGAGATGTAGTTCTCTGTCCAGAACAAGGATGAAATCTCACAGGAAAAACCTTAGTTGCCTGTTTCTGTTTCTGGCTGGAAATGCTGGGGGGTAAAACGCTTCTTTTCACAGTAGTTTGGCACCTCTGTCCTGAGATGAAAACCAGAAGGGAAAAAATAGTTATTTGCACTTTTCAAAACAATGAAAAAGAATCAGTTCTAAAAATGGACCAATGGTTAGCAGTGTGGTAGATTTCTCTGAGTTATTTGCCTAAACTAGATGGCACGTTCCCAGAGAAGCTGGGCCAACTTCTTTGTTGGTTCATCTCCCTAGAAGTCAATGGAGATGGGCCCTATACAGATGTTTCGTTGGATTTGGTGGAGAACTGATGTGATAGAGAGCAGAGGCTCTAAGTGATGCTGCCATTTTAAGGTTCTGTTACAGGAGAAAGAGGAAGCTGATAGGAAAAGGCATAAATAAAAGCAGCAGGGCATGGCGTAAAGGGAGTATTGCGAGGTGTCGTAGTATGGGTCTGCTGCTGTGGAATGAGATGAGGACAGTGGCCATACAACAATGTTCTTGAAGTGTGAGAAATATAGTCCAGATAAGCAAGGCGGGTGCAGCAGAGACAGGGAGTCTCTTGTCCACATGAAACTTTATAAGCTTAATATTTTCCAGATTTAAATTCTGTACTTAAAAAAAATGGTTGTAGATAAAAGCTTTTCCTCACCCTCTCTCCTCCTTTACCTCCCACATTCCCTCTTAGCAAGGTCTTCAAGTGGGGACTCTCGCACTGATATTTTCCAAATGTAAGTTGAACACATCCCTCTACTTGCTGGAAAGATTTGAATTCAAGAACCTGTATGAAACCCCTTCCACCTCTCTGGGGTGACAGGCTGGCATGTTTGGCAGTAGATCAGCAGCTGAGACACCTCATTGTGTATTGCTTACTCTGTAAAATTAAAGAGAAATCCACCCAGGAGTGTCCAGCCCGGTGGCTTAGGGTAGAGCAGAGCAGTACTTATTTACTGGTTTGGTAATGGCACGTTAAGGAATGCAGTGTGTCAGAGGCACAGAGTGAATTAAGGGCAGAACTGGCTTGCACAACAGTCGAGAGAGGCAGGCAGGCAACAACCTCTAATAATCAAACCGCAGACCCAGAGACACTGCGGTGGATTCAAGCCCAGGGACGTTTCAGAGATAATTGTGTATGTGTTCAGGGTAAAGAGAAAAAAACACAACAAACTCTTTTTTTACCAAGTATAAATTTGTTTCTGAGTGACAAGCACATTTCTAAACCCTGAAATTCCTCTTGGCATGCTTTTTAATTAAATAGAAATCATTATTATGCTGCAGTTCTTCAGGAAAGACACCAAGCCAGCTTCGTCCCTGGAGTAAATGGACTGAAATCAATCGACTTACGCTGGGGATTTTTCTGGAACCCAGTATCTCCTTGGCATGCACCCATAAAGAAATGCTGTTTCCAAGTGTGTATCCAAGTTTATTGGTCTCAGAAGTATTCTGGGTTGAAGTCTGGAATTTACCACTCAGTTTACAGTAGATGCAATTGTTGCTTAGTGGATCAGAACAATAATAAGGTCTTTGCTGTGCCTGATATGAGCACAAGCAAAATTTCCCTTGATATCTCGGGGAGGATATTACAAAAGCGTGGGAGCCAGTTGTTCACCTTCCAAAGGTTTCAAGGATGTTTATTCAACAGCAACAGAAAACAAAGGTAATTCTGCTAAACTGACACCCCCAACACTGTACATATTAGAAGAATGATGGGAAATACAGAGACATATGTACCAGGATGACCCCCTTTTCCTGAGCAGAGCATACCTGCAAAACAGCCGATGCCAGATCCTGGCCTCACTGATGTCAGTGGGAATGTTGCCATGGTCTTCCCATTCCTCCTCTTTCCCGAACAGAGTGTAACCTGAAGGAGTCCGAGCAATCCATCACAGCAGTAACTGTGTGTGCAGGAGGCCAGTTAGGCACCCAAGGGTGAAATTGTTCCAGGTAGGAGGCCAGCACAAGGCTTAGGTTTAATATTGATGGAAACCAACTAGAGTTGAATGTACATGTGAGCCAAATAGATAATAAGCCTCCAAAACTGCCTTAGGACTTTGCAGGCACGTTGTTAGACTGCCTTGGAAGTGGAGTGCATAAAGTGTTTTGGATGTAGAGGGAAGGCAGAATGAATCCAATAGTTGGAGGGCTCGTCCGTGCTGGGACAGTGTCCCTGTGCCAACACGCAGCACTGCACTGAGCAAGTGTCTCCCATGGACACCCAAATTGCCTGGCTGGGTGGGTTGTGTTTGGGCCACACTTTGCACCTCAACCTTTCCACATGAAAGATTAGCCCTGGCACAGCTGAAGCGGTGCCTACAGTCAGCCTGCCCGTGCCTGGGGCTGCATCTCGGCTAGGGCAGCCCTGGGGATAAAATGCAGAGGGTCTGAGTGGAAATGGTGGTGCAGCTGAGAGTCAAAGCATTTCCCCACATGCTCGTACATCACCTCTTTTTACAGTTTTAGGAGGTAAACATGAGTCTTTGCCTCTCTTACACACCCATACAGTGTGGCTGGGGGGAGGGCATGAGAAGCTGGGCTCTGTTAATTGCCCGCTTAGAATACAAACACCATCTTACTCACTTTTATACTGCAGCTTTTTTAAATACAGGGGCAGGGCTGGCATATAAATGAGGTGTTGGTATTTAAGCATCTAACACTGGTTTTAACTTTAAAGCTGCTTTCTGGAAGGAAGCATGGAAGAACCCAGCAATTTGTTTGGCTCTCAGTCTGTACTGCAGCTGACCAGAAGTTTTGGAAACAAAAAGCTGGAGGGAGAAAATACAGAAAATATATATTAAAACCACATGAAAATCAGGGCTAAACTGGAGGAAGAGGAAATGCATCGACACTACTGCACCCCTGAAGAGCCATAAGATTTCATGGTGCCTGTTGGCTCAATGGAGCTTACTTATGAGGATCCACGTAGTCCGATTCCACCCGCTCCCATGTGCACATGAGGGAGAGTTTTTCTGCAGTTATGATGATTTCAGGAGAAGGGAGGGCGGGATAATGAACCATCTGAAACATTAATGAGGGAAATCAAGAGAAAGAGAGAAAGAGATGAACGTGCAGGCAGAAAGGGCTTGTGGACCCTGCAGTCCCTGCCTTCGGTTCAGACTGAGCTGTCGAGGCAAGCACCCACCTAGTATTCACCGAGGCTATTGGAGCTTCACGTGCTGTGTAAAACCCAAGCTCTGAATCCATGCATGCTGCCACAGGGGAGTGCCTTCATTTATAGCACAGTCAATCCAAAACATTTGGAGGTAGTGCTGATATTGTGGGTAGAAAGCAGGGTAAATAGCAGAAGCTGACTTTGCAATGGCTGTGCATTGGATAAAGGATAAAGAGGGTCGTCTTGATCGTCCGGAGTACCCACAGCAGTTCATGGTTCCTCTCAGCCTCCTGTCAGGTACATCAGAATGCTTTAGATATGGATATAATGCTCTGTAACTGGCTGCCTTGGAACAGGTTGGCATGGATCCTGAAAATAGCATAGCAGAGTCATTTTCCCTGGGCTAATGCCATCAGCTGTACAGCAGCCCAGGCAGAGCAGTGGGCTAACAGAACAGGGGTGTGTTGGACACTGAACTAGGGTGCTTTGACGTGCTGCTGCGATGTATCATTACTAAAAGGTTAAAGCCATGTTCTCCATCGAATTGTCCATTGGTTCTGGGGTGTCCAAACTTTATGGAGTTCTCTTTTTGGAAAGTGCCCTCTAGAAGTTAGGAAGGTCACCATTTGCCTTTAGCTGATATGCTCAGACTTCAGATTCCCAAATCCTTTTAGTTGCTAATGCGTTTCTTCAAGGCCAGATCCAAAGGCCAGTTATGGTAATCGTGATGAGCTT